TAGGTTGCCCCAGGAGGCCTTCAAGAGGCCCCAAGAGCCCGCCGTGAGGACCCAATAAGCCCCCAAGAGGCCCCAAGATGCTTCCAAGAAGCCCCCCAAAGCCCCTCAAGAGGACCCCAAGCGGCGCCAGGAGGCTTCCCCCCTTCCCCAAGAGGACCCCAAGCGGCCCCAGGAAGCCTCCGACTGATCACTGTCACATCCGTAGCCATCTCGGATCAAGGTATCGCCTGTGTTCTTGGATGGGTCATGGCTTTGTCGGCGAAAGCCCTTGACGACCAGTATGGCCCAGAGCTGTCGCGGCCTCCCTTGGCCGACTGCGAGAGCCCGTATTATTTGCATCAGGCGCTCGTTGCAAAGGGTATCCAGGTCAGTCACCAGGCGTGCAAGACTTGGTGGGGCAAATATCGGGTTGTGCCTGGCAAGGTTAGTATTTCTAGCGAACTGGAGTTCGCACGTATTCGTCCGACCCGGCGGCTGGGTGTATGCTGGCTTGCGCAGGCTGTTGCAGCTTCTGCGTATTCACGTGCATTCCGAGGTGGTATCAGGTCTGTCATACAGGCGCATGGCGAGCCTGGATGTATTTGTGGCAACACACACGGCATCCATGGGCATGGAGCCGCCATGTATGGCTCTGTGGAATGCCTCCCACGACGTCAAGGATGGTATCACCTTGTTCCCGAAGCAGGATCATTGGTGGCACATGCCTGTATGGCGTTCTTTCGGGCAGTCCGAGTATGGGAATGTCATGGATTACCGTGTGGATCTGGGTATGCCGGCGCATGTCCAGGGCGTCCTGGCGGTATTGGCGCCCCACGGACGCACGGGCGATGTGTCCGCGAGGAGGCGTATCGGCACCATGCTGGGACACTTGGCCCCTGATGTATGGGTGCCAGGAGCGCAGCTTGCAGTATTGCGCCCGATGCGTGCCATTAGGGACAGGCGCGTGCCAGAAGACGATGAGCACACAGACTCGTCTCTTTAGTATGCTTCCAGAGCACGTATGCGTCCGCCTCGCCTTGTCCTGCTGCTCCTCCTCCTCCTCCTCCTCCTCCGGCGGGGCACCCATGGGGACAACCATCGGGACCACCATCGGAACAACCATCGCGGCAACCATGGGGACAACCATCGGGACAACGATCGGGACAACCACAACCATCAGGACAACCATCGGGACAACCATCGGGACATCCATCGGGACAACGATCGGGACCACCATCGGGGCAACCATCGGGAGAACCATCGGAACAACAATCGGGACAATCATCGGGACACTCATCGCGACAATTATCGGGACAACCACAACCATCAGGACCTCCAACCAGAGAGAGGTAGTCACGTGTATTTCGTCGACGAGTGAGCCAGTATTGCACATTGAGGCCGGAACGAGAACCACAGAACAAGAATGAGCATATATCGTCTCACAACAACGGAAACAAGTCCTGTGGTATGCTGGCGCCACGCACGTGATACCAGTCAAAATAAGGGTCTTGGCTTGTGTGGTACAGAAACGTTAAAACGTCGGAAAACGGTACACGTGCCCATTGTTGGAACAGGGGTATAAGTCGTATACTAAGCTAGTTTCCACAAGATGTTACCACAAGAAGTCATTGTAACCATGCGCCAGTGTAGTAGCCAAGGTCGTCCGCAGGCCACGAAGTGAAGTGTCCGAACGTCATAGGGCGGGAAGCTGGGTGTGGGTGGTGGCGAAGAGTCGTTTGGAAACTTGGTAGAGCTTGAACCGGCCCCCCCACAAAGTGGGGGTATTGCCCGCCTCCTATGAAAACCCTGGCACTGGTGAGAACGGAGTGTCCCCAGTCTTAAATGATTGTTGTTGTTGTTGTTGTTGTTACTGCTGTTGTTGGTGCTGCTGCTGTTGCGGTTGCTGTTGTTGCTGTGGTTGATGTCCAATTCTCCATTTCAAAACAAGCTGTGTTGATCCCCCCGGGTAACCCGACTATTTGTTCAATTGAAATGCCCCCTCGGGGCCCGCGCCCTGTTTGTTACAACGGAAAAATTGGTGCTAAGACACGAACTGCAAAACGGCTTCCGCTTTATACTTCCTCACATGTTATTCCGACATCGCGTTCTCGCGCGGGACTTCCTCACACTGTATGCAAGAATCGCGCTCTCACGTTGGGCTCCCTCGCAATTTACTCAGACGCCGCGCCCTCGACACTCAGGAAACCACGCTCTCGCATTGGCCTTGCTCACGATTCACTTGGGAGTCGCGCTATCGCTCGAGCTCTCCTCGCGATTCATGCGATACTCACGCTTCAGCAACACACCTTCTCGAACTGGCCATTTGGGTCCGCTTTCCCGATCCGCCCATTAGGGTCTACCCACCCGATGGGCCCGTCGGGTTCTGCCACATGTACTATGCTTCTAACCCCCCTTCTGTTCATCCCGTGCTCCATCTTTCTCAGTCCTCCTTCCATCTGTCCTGCTTTCCCCTGTTTCAGTGGCTGCGCCAACTACGCGCGGCAGGCAAGTAAGACATACCACCAGAGGGGTACGATCGAAAACGAAAAGGGCGGGCGGGCACCGAGGGCTTGGGATACACGTGTTGAATAGCACGCGAGAAGATAGGAGCGAGCACTCTTAAAATGAATGCAGTTAGTGCTGCTCTTGTTGGTGGTGTTGCGACTGCTAATGTTATTGTGTTTGTTGTTGCTGCTGCTGTTGTTGCTGAGCCCTCACGTAAAAACATTCGTGAATGTTGATCCCTTTTCCGGTAAGCGTTGTATGTGTTCAATTCCTTTCTCGGGGCTCGCACCCTGATTCCTTACAAAGGAAAAGACTTGTCACTAAACTGTGCCCCTGGCCTGGCCTCCAGCTTACAACAACAGCGGCTGCCACCTGATATTTCCTCACAGTGTATTCCTAAATCGCGCTCTCGCGCCGGACTTCTTCACAATTGAAGCAGGAAACGTGCGGACGCGTGGGGCTTCCTCGCAATGTATTCAGGCGCCGCGTGCTCGACACTCAGGAATCACGTTCCGTTGTGGATGTCCTCAGGATCTAATTGGAAATCGCGCTATCGTTTGAAAATTCCTCGCGATTCATGCGCGACGCACGATTCAGCAACCCGCTTGCTGCGACCTGGCCGACTGGGCCCGCCTTCCCGACCCGCCTGTTCGGGTCTACCCGCCCTGCCCGTCTGGTTCTGCCACATGTTGTCTGCTCCTAGCCCCCCTCCTGCTACTCTCTCTCTCTCTCTATCTCATGCTCTACCCTCCTCCCTCCCCCTTGTCCCTTCCTTCGATCCGTCCTCTCCTGCCCTGCCTCAGGGGCTGCACGAAATACACGTTGCAGGTGAGGAAGATCTGCCCCTGATGGGGGTACGATCGAAAACTGAGAGGGCGGGTATGGCGGGTTTGGGATGTATGTGTTGAATGGCACGCGAGGAGATCAGAGCGAACAGTCTTGAACTTATGGTTGGTGTTGTTCTTGTTGGTGTTGGTGGTGTTGCTGTTGATGGTGTTGTTGTTGATGTTGTTGTTGTGGTTGTTGATGATGATGTTGTAGTTGTTGTCGCTGCTGCTGATGTTGTTGTGTCTGTTTCTCTACGTTGCCTCTTACTGAAACTGGGCGTGTCTTGAGCACGTTTTCAGCTTTCTGGTGGTCGCAGCGAGCATCAACGATTGTCTGACCCGCACTTCGATTGCTTAACTTGCCTTTAGCTTGCCAAACTCCGCTTGCATATTTCCAACCAACAGGAGTATGCCATTGCTTGTCCCGTCTTGCCCTTCAGTCGCCTGTAACTGACCTAGATGATGTCGTCGCAATGCCATTACCTTATCTCTGTCTTCACTTGAGCTTGCTTCCAAATTACCTGCTGTATTGACCATACACTGGCCTAACCATGCTTTGTACCTTGGCATTCGCCTACCGTTCACTCGCGCTTTCAGTCAGACGGGTAATTATTGTTCCGCCTGCCTGTGAGTGCCATATTCTATTGTCCAGACTTGCGATCCGCATGCCCTTTTGCTTGCCTTTAGCGTGCCTGTTGCGTGCCGTTCGCTTGAGCTCAGGTTCCATGTTTGTGTGTTTTTTGTGCGTTGTTGTCAACCTGATTGTGACTTTCCTCAACGCCCCTCCCCACACAACACGAAGCCCCCCCCCTAGCGAATCGCGTCGGACTCATCTTTTGCCAAGAGCTGGGCGTCCGGTCGGGATGCTCGACTGGATACCTGCTCAGCGCCGGAGGGAAAGGCCCGCGCTATCGGCAGGGGCAGTCGGCAGGGAGCGAGCCCATGTGAAAGCGGCTCTGGAGCTCCCGCGGCCCAGCAGGGGAGGCAGGCAGGCTCTGGGCACGCAGCAGAGGGCAGGGCGGAGCCTTCAGGCAGGGGGCAGGGGGAGGATGGCCGAAAGACATGGCCCTGTCGGGCTGCTGCGTGTGCACCGCGCCCCTGCCCGAGAGAGCGAGGGACGCGCCTCTCTCTCTCTCTCTCTCGGCACCGCCAGGCTCGCCGCGGCGACGGCCGCCCGCAAGCGGCGAAGGCCGGGCACGCCCGCGCGCTCCGTCCGCTGGGGGGTGCGGCCTGGGCCTGCGGGCCCTTGGGCTGGGGTGCCGCCGCCAAACGGGTCGGGCGTCGTTTAACCAGAGGGGGGCGATGAAAGGGGGAGGGGAAGCAAGGTGCCCTTCTCGGGCCCCAAAGGGCCCCTTCCGGGACCCTAAAGGGCCTTTTTTCTGCAGCTTCCGCTGCCCCCCATTATCGTTCCCCTATTCCCAGACCCCTGACGTGGACATTGGTTCACAGCGTCGGCCCCCAAAGGTCTGGACCCCTTTCCCGGGACTAGTTCTTCATCATGAATAGCTGTTTGACGGTCACGGGGCCCAGTAAGGGCCCTTGGAGGCCGAAAGTAAGGAACAACCTAAGGTCGTGTTTTTTCACCACGCGAGGCGGTCTGGGATTCCGCGATGCCCGACACGCCCCCGCGCGCTACGTCCGCCGGGGGGAGCGGCCCCGAGTCTGCGGGCCCTTCGGCTGGGGTGCCGCCGCTGGCCGCTGGCCGGGCTTGCCGGCGCGGCTGCCGGCTCGTCTCCCGCCGGCGCCCCGCCCGCCAGCGGCCGGCGGCCCCCGGGAGGCGGCCGTCGGCCTCGCCCGCTCCGGCACCGTGGGCTCGGCGGGGGCGTCCCCGAGCTCGTACGGGAGCACGAGCGTGATCTTCTCAGCCCGCAGGTCGACCGCCTCTATGATCATGCCGTCCACCTGGGCGAGATGACGTAGCGAGCCGAAGCGGCGGCTTATGCGGGCCGCCAGCGCGGCACGCCACAGTGGAGGCGAGGGCGCCAACGCGCGACCTTGCGCGAGCAGCTAACGTGCCAATGTCGGCGCAGAGGACACCGCTTTTTGTTGCGTTGCTCGCCTGGAGAGGAGCAGCAAGTGGCATACAGCCAACCCGTATGATAAGGATGCGCCGTAAGGATGCAAGGGCCCGGGAAGGCCGTGTCGACACTTTGTGAGCGGGGCAGGGCCAGCGAAAGCGTCCAAGGACGGACAGAAGGGGAAGGATGCAAGGGTAACCTTCGACAGTCGCTCATCCTTGCTATGAGGTTTGACTGTGAGCGCTAACTATTTTTCGGAGATCCGCGCGGGTTTCTCGTATCGGCGATGCAGCCCAGTGGCGGCGCCGCCGGCGCGACCCCTGGCGCGCTCCGCGCGCCAGAGAGGGGGGTCCAGCGCCGATCCAAAAACTCCGCGCGGACATCCGGAAGTGTATATGATCATAACATGTTTGTTCCCTGACGTTGGAGGCCTCCTAGTCGGAGAATCGCGCCGCATCGCCGATGCATCGGCACGATCGGCGTGGAGAAACTCTGACTCTACATCGATCCGCATCGTCGATTCGGAGCGGTCCTTCGACCGCATCTACTCGGACCCCAATTGGGAGGCCTCGAGACACCTGGGCGACGAAAAGAATTGGGTGTCACCCGAGATGAAAGCCACCTTAGCGGCGGCTTACGCGGGCCGCCAGCGCGGCACGCCACATCGGAAACGAGGGCGCTCACGCGCGACCTTGCGCGGGATGCTGACGCGCCAATGTCGGCGCAGACGACCCCGTTTTGTGGCGTCGCTCAGTTGGGAGGCCTAGAGACACCTGGTCGCCGATCTGGAGCTTCTTCAGGTCCCTCTGGGCCAGCTGGAGCCTGCCGCCCTTGGCGGCGCGGATGTCCATGATGGCGGCGTTGGTGCCGAGGCTTGCGACTATGCCGGAGACCTCGGAGCCCACGCGCAGCTGCGCGAGCGGGGTGCCGCCCTGGTGGCTCCAGACTCTGCCCGACGGCGTGGCCGCGGCCTCGAGCGCAGCGGGGGCGGTCGCCTGCGCCTTCGCCTTGGCCTTCGCCTTGGCCGCGGACTTCGCCTTGGCCTTCCCCTGGGCGGCCGGCTCCGGCTGACCAGCGGACGGCCCGTCGAGCTCGGGATCCTCCAGCGACAAGCGGACAGAGCCAGCCTTCGCGTCCACCTCTTCAACGACCATGCCCTCGACCTCGTCGCCGGCGCGGAACTGTTTCACGAGCGCCGCGGGAACCGACAGTATGCAGTCGGCGGCGACGCCGATGTCCACGTGGATGCTGTTGCCGTCCACCTTGGTGACCAGACCTTGCTTGACCGAGCCAGGCTTCACACGGCTGAGTTGCGCCCTGGACTGTCGAACCTTGGGCTCTGCCGGCGCCTCGTGTACTGACAGCTCGGGGTCGTCGACGGTCACTGAGATCTGCCTTTTCTCGAGGTCGACTGCCCCGATCTGCATCCCGCACACCTCGTCGCCGCGGCGGAACTTCGCGCCCACATTCTTGGGCACATCGAGCCTCGCGTCCTTGCCGCACCCAATGTCCAGGAACACGCCAAACTGGTTCGTGTTCGTGACGATGCCATCCACGAGTGCGCCCACCTTGAGGTCCTCAAGGGCGATCTGGGTGCCCTTCCGCGGCGCGGGTGCAGGAGGCGCGCTGGCCGCCCTGGAGGCGTCCTTCGCCTTGGCCTTCGCCTTGCTCTTCGCCTTCGCGCTCGGAACGGGCGCCCGCTCCTTGGGAGGCAGGTCCCGCACCGCCTCCTCCGGGTCCGGGATGGAGACGTCCAAGCGCTTGGCCTCGACGTCCAAGTTCTCCAGCTTGCAGCCGGAGACCACGTCGCCCGTGCGGAAGCGCCTCCCCACCTTCTTGGAGACGCTCAGCCTCGCGTCCTTCACCGCGCCGATGTCGACGAAGACGCCGTAGGGGCCCACGTTGGCCACCGTGCCCTCGAAGACCTGGCCCACCTGCAGCTCCTCGAGCGGCGTGGCCTCGCCGCGCCCCTGGTCCTTCTTCCGCCCGCCTGGGGCCCGGCTGCCCTGGCGCTGGCGGGCGCCGCCAGGCCCGGGCGGGCTGCTGCGCGCGCGCGCCTCGGCCGCGCCGCGCGGGGGCGGCGGTGAGCGCGCGGGCGCCCGCTGCTTCGGCGGCAGGTCCCTGACAGCCGCCTCCGGATCGGGCACGCTGACGCTCATCCGCTGCCTCTCCAGGTCGACGGACTCCACCCTGCAGTCCCGGACGACGTCCCCGGAGCGGAAGCGGCGGCCGATCTCGGGAGGCACGCTGAGCCTGGCGTCGCGGAAGGCGCCCACGTTCACGAACACCCCGAACACGTTGACGTTGGTGACCGTGGCCTCCGCGAACACCTCGCCCTCCTTGACCTCCTCCAGCGGCCTCTGGCCCTCGTGGGTCCACGTCTTCGGCGCGCGCCTGGGCAGATCCGCGGCCGGCGATGCGCTGCGGGCAGCTCTGGCCTTAGCCTTCGCCGGCCGCTCCTTCGGTGGCAGGTCCTTGACCGCCCCCTCCGGGTCGGGGATGGCGACGCTGAGCTGCCTCTTCTCGACGTCCACCGCCTCCAGCTTGCAGTCCTTCACTGCGTCGCCGACGCGGAAGCGGCGTCCGATCGACGAGGTCACGGCGAGCCTGGCGTCCTTGGCGGCGCCGATGTCCACGAAAACGCCAAAGGGCCCGACGCTGACCACCGTGCCCTCGAAGACCTCTCCCAGCTCGAGGCTCTCCAGAGACCTGGCGTCCTCGCAGGGCACGCACTAACCCAGGTCAGCACGAACCCGAGTCGGCCAGGGCCCTTTCGCGAAGACTGGCCGGCCGCTCAGTAGCTCCAAAACCGGGTCCAGCGGAGGGCGGAACACATGAGTCGGCCCCACGTGGCTCCCAAGCCAAGGTCAGCCAGAGGGGATTGGCTGACCCCCGTTAGCGCAGACCCCCGTTACGTGAGCCACGACCTCGCCCGACGGGACCATCTCCGGGGGCGGGTCCAGCACGACCTTCCCCGCGTCGGCGTCGCAGGAGGCGACGACCATGCCCTTCACCTCGGTGCCCCGCTTGAACTGGCGGGCGAACTTGGCGGGCACGCGCAGGAGACCGTCCTTCACGGCGCCGAAGTCCACGAAGATGCCGAAGGGCCCGACGTTGGTGACGACCCCGTCGCACGCCGAGCCAGCCTCGACCTCCGACAGGGGCCTGCCGTCGGGGTGCCCCCACTCCTTCGAGGGCTTCTCGGCGGTCCGCCGCCCCTTCGGCGGCATCTCTGGCGAGAAGCGCCCGCTGGAGCCGCACGCGCCGCCGTGCCCGCCCCACGGGCGCGTCCGCGCGCCCACCCGACGCGGCGCTTGAGCCACAGGCTACAGACCCCCCCACTCGTTCGCTCTTTGTCTCTGTTGTCGGCACCGCGCTGCGAGGCACGCGCGCGCGCAGCCGATCGTCCTGTGCCGCCGCGCATGGGCGCATCGTGGCAGGCACTCGCCAAAGCGTGGACCTCGGGCGATGGCTCCGTGCAGCAGAGGGGGGCGTAACTTGCGGGCTGCAACAAAACCCTGAACCGAAACACCTTGCTATCTCTTGCGAGGCCCGCTTTTACTTCCGCCGCCTTCCGCCGAACTTCCGCCAGCTTCCACCGGCGGAGGCAGCCTCGTTTTACTTCCGCCGCCTGCCGCTGCCCTTTTGCCGAGGAAGAGATGCCAACTCCTCCGATCCTCGAAGACGAGGCCCTTTCTGGAGCGCCCCGCATGAGCATATGGTTGTATAGATGTGGTGCAACTTATCTTGTGCATGTGCAGACACATCGGGTGCATCGCACAGGACGTAGCAAGGCAATTTGTGGGGTGCAATCTGTGGGGTGCCACGTGCTGGGTGCAACATCTGGGAGCGCCGCCATCCGTGAGGGGAAGCGCGTGGGTGGGACTGACATATCTAGAATCCTGGAAATTCGCACCACCACTAACACATGGGAAGGCCTCCACCGGGGGAAGATGATCCAAGATTCTGGTGCTGGTGGTAATGGTTCGGCCACCTACGAAGCCCGAATATTACCACCATCGCCGAGATCGGGATCTTCCATCGGTGGAATCAAAACCGATATCAGGGTTGGCGCCAACCTCCAGGCCTCCCGCACCTATCCCTGCTTGCGGGTCCCTTTTGACACCCACCGCTGGTCCCCGCAGCCAGGCCCAGCGTCCACCGCCAGCTCCCAGTGGGCCCCTGCGGCCGGACCCCCCGCAGTCCAGCTCTTCACCGCTCGCTCACGCCCGACGCACCCTCGAAGCCCACTGGCCCTGACATGTCCCCGACCCCCCCGAGCCCGGTTCCGATTCCGTCCTGTCCCGATGGGTGCAGCCCAGGGGGACATCTTGCCGATGCCGGGCCTACCCGGCCGCCCCCAGCAAGCACGGGGACGGCCCGCCGGTCGCCCTGGTGGGGGGCCTGTTCCGCCGCCCGCGCTGGCACCGCGACCGCCCACAGCCGTCAACCGTAAAATTCGCCAGCCCAACAGAGGCGGCGTGCTGAAACCTCCGGTAAGAATTTGAGAACGGTTCTAATTCTCGCGCGCGTGGCGGCCCCTGGGGGGTCCCCGGACGAAAAATACCCTGGCAAGGTCCCGGCATGGTCCCGGCAAGTCCCCGGCAAGGTCCTCGGCAAAGTCCCGGCGAGGTCGGGCCAGAGATGCCGGAACTCTCGGGCGCGGCCTGGGGGGCCTCCCGAGCGCCCCAATGAGGCGCCAAAAGAGTGGCACGCCCCACGGCCTCAGGCCAAGAGCGTTCCAAAATGGTCCACGTTGGCCCCAAGACCGCACAAGAAGCGCCCAAGACGCTTCAGGAGGGATCCAAGAGGACTTCGAGAGGCCCCGTAGACGCAGCAATCTTGATTTTGCGAGGGTTTTCGGACAATTTTGGCGGTACCGCCTTTTCGAGCTGCCGACCGCCCTGGACGGCCCAAGAGGCCCCAATATCGTTTCAAGACGGCCCAAAAGGCCTCCAAGAGGGCCCCCAAATGGCCCAAGATGGCCCTCAGATGGCCCCAGGATGGTCCCAAGAGGGGGCCCAGAGGGGGAACCCGAACAGACATTTCAAGCTCTCGGCCCCAAGAGGCCCAGAAGCCTCCAGGGGCCCCCACCAGGCCACAAGAGGCCCCCAATAAGCCTCGAAAGAAGCCCCCAAGACTCCCAACATGCCCCCAGGAAGCCCCGAGAGGCCCCCAAGAGGCCTCCAAGAGGCTCCCCAGAGGCCTCAGAACTGCTCCCCAGAGGCTCCCTCCGAAAAGATCCCAAGGAAAGCATCCACGAGGACTTTGACCCACAACCCATGTGCGTCTCGAAACTTTGCTGGAGCTCTCGTGAGCCACCGTGGCGCCCTCTGGGGCAATCGATCGGGTGTCTTCGACAGGGTGCGAGCCACATCTCCGAAGATCTCCTCGAAGAGCGTCCTGCTTGTCCTATCGTTCCCTCTGGGCATGGGCACACCACCACGCAGCCACAGTGATGCGAAATGTGCCGGCGGAGTGAGCGAAGCGATTACATAATGATGATCGTCATGAACACAATCACCATCATCACCACCATCACCAGCAGTATTATCATCATGGCTATCACCCATGCTATCACCATCAATACCACCATCGCCATCGTCGTCGTCGTCGTCGTTGTCAGCATCATCACTACCATCATCATCAGCATCGCCCTGACCATCATCATCATCATCGTCATCATCGTCGTCATCATGAGCAGCAGCATCATCACCATCGTCGCCACCATCACACTTTTCATCGCCACCGTCACCATCAGCAGCAACAGCATCACCAGCATCATCATCAGTAGCAGCATCAGCACCACCATCACCAGCAGCAGCATCAGCATCACCAGCATCATCATCATCATCATCATCATCATCATCAGCATCATCATCATCATCATCATCACCGCCACCATCATCATCAGCATCATCAGCATCATTATCATCGACATCACCATCATCATCATGTTTGTTGTCGTTGTCGACGTCGTCATCGTCATCGTCCTCGTCGATAACATCACCATCACCATCACCATCATCATCATCATCATCATCATCATCATCATCATCAAAAATCAGCATCATCATCGCCACCGTCATCGTCATCACAACCAGCATTACCAGCATCATCACCACCATCATCAGAACTACCATCGAACATATCATCATCCACCATCACCATCGGCATCATCACAACCACTATCATCACCACACTTATCATCATATCCATCATCGAAAACACCATCAACATCACCACCAGCATCATCATCATCATCATCACCACCATCATCATCACCAGCACCATCATCATTATCATCACCATCACCATCGTCACCACCACCACCATGGTCATCGTCACCGTCATCGTCGTCGTCATCATCATCATCACCAGCACCATCATCATCATCATCACCATCATCATTATCACCATCATCATCACCATCAGTATTACCATCATCATCAGCATCAGCATTAGCATCATCATCAGCACCATCATCATCGTCGTTATTATTGTCGTCAGCGTCATCGTCAATACCATCATCATCACCGTCACTATCATCGTCATCAGTATCATCGAGACCGTTATTATAACCACCACCACCACCATCATCACTAGCACCACCACCACCATCATCATCATCATCATCATCATCACCATCATCATCATCACCACCTTCCTCATTATTATCATCACCATCATGATCATGTCACCATCATCGCCTTCTTCGTCATCAGTGCCGCCATGGTCACCCTGGGACCCCATCCTGGATGGGAGCCAGCGCCAGGACGCCCGCCGCAGGAGACCAAGAACGACGGGAGCTCAACGCATACAGAACAAGCAAGCGCCCGTTGGTGCAGGGACTCTAGAACGCCCATGCCCTTACATCCTCACGACGGCCACTTCAAATGGTATCGGTTCACGCACCTGATCGGCTTTATCGAGTCGTGTTTAGACCTGGCGACGAGGTGTGTGTGTGTGTGTGTGTGTGCGTGTGTGCGTGTGTGTGTGTGTGTTTTACTTGCCTGAGCGGGTCCGGCTTCCCCTCTTCCCGTCGGGGCAGGGTCTCCCCCTCTTCCCGCGTGCTTCGCGGCCTGAATTTGCATCCAGTGCGCCCCCCACATGCCCGATCGCCGGAGCAGTGACCCTCTGCCCAGCCGCCGACACAAAAAGTGTGTGTGTGTGTGTGGTGTGCGTTTGTGTTTGTGTTTGTGTTTGTGTGTGTGTGGTGGGGGTGGGGGTGGGGGGCCGAAGGCAAACACTCAACCCGCCCGCATCCTTGGGGAGCAGAAGAGCGTGAGACAGCGCAGCAATATTGAAGGTTGGAGGTGCGAGGTTCCTCAGCAAGCCTGGCAACCACCACCAATCGTGTGCCGTTACTCCCACAAGCAGAGCCTCTGCAAGTCAATGGAGGCCGCAGGGAGGCGTCTGATCTCTTGAGTCCACTGGAGCCCCTGGGCACGTCGGTGGTGAAGTGGGCCGTCCCAAATCATTTATCCTGCGTCGCCCTTGCTGGGGAGGCCTCTGGGGGCTCTCCAGAAGTGCCTGGGGACCCCGCCGGAGGCTTCCACCGTTCTCAAAAGAAGAAGAAGAAGAAGAAGAAGAAGCATAACGTAAACGTGAACTTTCGAAGGTCCGCGCGTATTTCTTGGATCTGCGCTGACGCGCCCTCCCTGGCGCGCGGAACGCGCCAGGGACGGCGCTGGAAGCGACACCAGGGGGACCCAACGTCGATCCAAAAAATCCGCGCGAACCTCAGAGAGTTCATGTTTACGGAATTGTTTTACTTCCGAATTCTGGAATTCAGGCGGCGGTTTCTGGAAATCCTGAACCCAAAAACGTTTTCATCTCTTGGGGGCGCATCTTTTACTTCTGCCGGCTTCCGCCACCCTTCCGCCAGCCCCCGCCGGCGGAAGCAGCCTCGTTGTACTCCCGCTGCCTGCCGCTGCCCTTCCGCCCAGGAAGGGATGCCATCCCCTTCGATCCTCGAAGGCAGGCCCTGTGTGGAGCGCTCCATGTGAAGCTCCTTGAGGCCTCCACGCACGTTGGCGGTGCAGGCGGGCCGTCTCAGACCACCTCCCACGCCACCCCTCCGCACTGCGCGTGCCTCCCCTGTCGCTGAGGTGGCGCCCGCGAGCCCTGGTCGGACGCCTGGAAACGTCTGGACACATCTGCGAGGCCTCTGGAGGCACGCCGGGCTCTGGCACACACTCCTTCCTGCACCCTGGGCGCTCTGACACTCTGCTTGCTCGCTTGAGTTTGCTCTGGAGGTGCCCGCTCCCTCGCCTTTGCCCAACAACACGTCAGCGGCACTGGCCGGGTGGACGTTGACGGGGGACAAGGAACCAGGGTGGGAATCGAGGGCTGCAGGAATTTGGCCCTAGAAGGGCCCTTGAATCGCCAGCCCGCGCCCAGAAGGTGTTTGAAGAGTGCGCCTCGCTTCGTGGTCAAGCTTCGGGCTGTGCGCAAACAAGACAGCCCCCACAGGTAGTCCCAGCTGGCCTCGGCAGGCTTCGGGTTGTGCGTAAACAAGACAGCCCCCCGAGTAGACCCAGCTGGCACCGCCCCAAACTACTCAAGACCCTGGCACCGCCCCGGACTACTCGGGGGGCCTGTTGAGGCCAGCTGGGATTACTCAGGGTTGGCGCGAAGAAGTGGGGTGCGTGATAAAGTTGGGGGAAGGAAGGTGCCCTCTTCTGGGGAGCCCACAAAAGACGTACGCGCCCAGCTATGTACATGAACACGGCCCTTTGACCCGCGAGACCTGCCGCGTGATACAAACATTCGCGCAACGCGAACTCTCGAAACCAGCGTGGATTCGTGTCCTTTTTTCGCTCCTGATCTTCGGGCCCTAAAGGCTCCCTTCTGGGCCCGGAAGGGCCCCTTTAGGGGCCCTCAAGGGCTCATTTTCACTCGCTGGCTTCCAATCCCTGCTCTCCGCCCTTCCCGTAGGGACCCCCTGGCAATCGTCCACGCGTGGGGCGATGTGCTCGGGACTCGCGGGACGCCGGAGCGGCGTCCACTGCGGGCACGTGGCAAGGGCCCTGCCCTCACAGAACAGAGAGACACGCATGAAATAGGCAGATAAAGCTGCATAATCGTTTCAACTTTTGACGGCATGCGCGGGCTTCTTGGACCTGCGCCGGAGCCCATGGCGGCGCGTCCGGCGCCGCCTCTGGCGCGCTCCAGCGGACCGTCGACAATTTGTGTTTATGCAATTGTCTCGTACAGCCGGACCTGGGACAGAAGAACACCCCTCAAGAACATGAGACCTTCGCTTGCCAAACACACACAAAACAGCCAAGGGTACCCTCCCCAGGATGCGCAATAACATCCAATACATACGAAGAACATGAGGGCATCCTCCCCGAACCGACCTCGGTCTTGTACCTCGGTCCGACTGTACTCGGCACAAGGAGACAGGCGGACGTGAAGGCCAGGCAGGGGAAGCCAAACACGGGCCCCCTTCGGAAGGCTGGCCCGCCTGCAATCTCTCTGAGCCTGGGCCACCGCGCCCCCAGCCGGAGAGCCTCTCCCCTGGCGCCGCCCCTCCCGCACCTCGGCTCACAACGCACAGCTCAGCGGGGGCGCCGACGGGCCAGACCTCCCGAAAACAGCGCGCAAACGCCGATCCTCGACCCCCTTGGCTGTCCCGATAGGCAACACGCAGCACGTAGCGTCTTGATACGAAGCTCAGCAAGTGGATGGAGCACGTAGGCCTGGTGCGATACATTCGCCAAAACGTGGGCCAATGCGTTGAGCCAACACGCAACGCATTGACACGGACGTTCTGAGCACGGTACGTGTTGTGTTTCAAAACGGGCGCGTCGAGGTTTACTGTTGGGGGCGGCCTCGTCTGCACCTCGGCTCCTCTGCTCGCCCTGCTCTTCCTCCCCCGATCAGGGGCACGGCGATTGTCGGGCCACCACTCGCGCCTCTGGCGGCCGTTTGGGACGATTCGGCTACCCCCAAAACGCTCTCGATGAGGCGCGGGTTGGATGATTCTTCTTTATCTCCTCGAGCTGAAACTGGTGGTTGCTTTCTTCCTTGGCTCGCCGTGCCCTGGGAGAGTACCAACACGGCAGGGCCTGGTCTTCTTCCTGGATCCCCATGGGGCAGCGAGCCGCCTGGACGTTGCCTTCCAGGGAGTGCCTTCCAAGAGTTGGTGGTTCTCGAAGGCAACCCGCGGGTGGAAAACCTTCGGAAACAGACGGAGGCGGTCGAAAATCCCGACCCCGCCTTTCTCAGAGCCCCCAATCCTCCGCACTGCCCGCCTTCCAACCCCTGGCTACTGCGGCGACGACGACGCGGTGTGCACGGCGACTGCTCGAGTGTCGACGGCGGCGAAATGGACGGCGATGATGACGGCGACGGCGCGGCGTCCACGGTGACTGCTCGAGCAGCGATGGCGACGGTGGCGGCGACGACGGCGGTCCCAGACATCCGGCGGCGGCGGCGACGACGGCGGCGTCCACGGCGACTGCTCGAGCAGCAATGGCGACGGTGGCGGCGACGACGGCGGTCCCAGACATCCGGCGGCGGCGGCGACGACGGCGGCGTCCACGGCGACGGCGCGGCGTCCACGGCGACTGCTCGAACAGCGATGGTGACGGCGACGGCGACAACAGCGGTCTCAGACATTCGCCGATGAGATCTCTTTCAGTGCGCGGCCCCAAAAGTCTCGACCGCTTCCCCAGAGGGTCGTCTTTCGTCCGGGATCAATGTTTGATGGTCCCCAGGCCCGACACGGTGCCCACGGACGCCGAAATCTGAGAAAGAACACCGGTTGAACAATCCTATCGTCGGAGATCTGGGACGACGGCCGCGGCGACGGCGGCGGCGACTCATCAGCTCGTGCGACGAGGGCCTCGTGGGCTGGGTTGTGGGTGGCCCCCACGTGGCTGGCGCGGCGCAGGCAGCTCACCGCGCCCTCGCCGGAGCCCCTCGGTGTCCAGGACGGTGCCCGACTTGCCTGGGGAGCTCGCGCGCGGAGCGGGGGGCTGCCGTTCCCGCTCGCGCGCCCCTGGCCGGTTTGCGGAACATGCGGTGCACAATGGAAACATGGCCATACGAGACGCGAGTCAGCGGGGGAGGCCCAGCGCCCCGTGGAGCTCCCCCAAGCGAAGAGCCTCCCAACACGGAGAGCCCCAAAACACGAGGAACGCAAGGGCGCCCTCCAAAACTATGCCCGCTCTTAAGCCCCGCGCTAACTCTACATGTGCTCCGATGGCTCTGGTTCCCACTCCCACTCGCTCTCTGTCTCTCTCTCTCTCTCTCTCTCTCTATGGGGACCAGTTCCCAGACTTCCGACATGGCCCAGACATGGCCCTGTCTGGAGCGACCGCTTCCAAGGTTCCAAGACAATTGTGGTACGTGGAGCGGTGACTCCCAGTCCACTGGTGTCCTGAAGAGATCTGGGAGATTGCGGGCTTGGTACGCCTGGGCCTCCAGTCGATGTCTGGCCGAATAACACAGAAGGCGTGTGAGAGACATTTGGCTTTCCCCCTCCCCCTTTCCCCCTCCCCAGGGGTACGAAATGCTGTTTGAGGGGGGGAGGGGGGGGGGACGAGCTCCTGAACGCATCCCCGGGGCCTCCAGAGCCTTTCCACAACACTAAGACGGCACATGAGGTCCAAAACATGCGCATGAGGGCCAAAGCAGAGGCCCACGATGGCCCCAAGACGGCTCCGTAAGGCACATTTCAGTGACTCCCTCTTTAAGTGTTTTCGAAGATTTGGGCGTTCTCGCCTTTTCGGCTGTCCGACGCTCCAAGACGGCCCAAGAAGCCTTCTAGACCACCCCAAGACGGCCCAAGAGGCCTCCAAGAGGGCACCAAAACGGCCCCAAAGCGCCCCAAGACGGCAGAGGCACCCAAGACGGCACAACAGGGCCCCAAGACGGCCCCAAAAGGGGCCCAAGAGAGGGAGCACGAACCGAACATCCGAGCCTCCTCTTCTGCCCCTTCCCTAGTCCTCCATCCCCTTTTCTGAAGGAGGCCCCTGAGCGGCATCCCGCGAGCCCCCCACATGCATCCAAGGATCTCCTGACCCAACAGATAACCTAACCCTCCAGCGCGACGCGGGCGGTGCAAGGAGAGCCGGCACAGGATGCATGCTATCGGTGGGGCTGAAGAGGGGAGGGAAGCACACTAGGCTAACACAAGTCCTGCGGATCATCGATCAA